ACAAAAAGGCGGAGAAGGCATGCAGCTTGATGCTGATTGCGACTCTAGAGGATCCCCCTCTTCCGCGGCGCGTCGCGGCTGTGGGAGGACGTCGCGGCGCGGCTGGACCAGCAGAGGCGCGCCGGCTCGGAGCAGGGCGCCGTCGGCGACTGGCTCGCCCTCTCCGCCACACGCAGCGACACGGGCCGCCCCGCCCTTGCGCGCTCGGCCGCCGACTTTGAGGGCGTGGCTGGGAACTGACGCGGCGGCCGCGCGAAGGGAAACGCAGCCCCTCTGGGCCTCGGGGAGGGGCGGGCGAGGCGCGAGGGCGGAGGGGTGGAGGGGGCGCCTCCTTCCTCCCCTCCCGGCGGGGGGGGGCGGGCGCGCGGACGCGCGCGGGAGGGGAGAGAGGGCAAGGCCGCGCAGGCTTCAGGCCCTGGAGCGGCGAGGCGGGAGGAGGAGAGCGCGGCTGTGCCTCGCGCGCGGCTGTGCCTCCCGCCACTAACAACTTTTTGAGGGAGGGCGGAGGGGTGGTCGGTCCGCACGCGAGCGGCCGACGCAGCGACGGCCCGGCGCCGCGCCGCCCTCCGCGGTGAGACGGTGGTAGAGAGTGTCCCATGCAGTGGTGGCTGGCGCGCCCAGTCAGCGGGGGAGCAGAGGAGCGAGAGCTTGCTGGAGAGAGAGAGAGGGCGAGAGAGAGACGTGTCTCACATCAGGGCGAAGATGGTTTCTTTCTAGAGCGAGCTCTAAAGTCGTAACCGCCATCCATTCCGTAGGACGAGACCGCCTCCACTGCGAACCACTTACGGCTTTACCACTTTTGATGCCTAATCTCAAAGTATAGCCAGGGGGGATACCCGTAGCCCCCAAAGTGAACTGCCTGATCGACTCCCCCGCACACGGCGGAGGAGGAGGAAGACAGCACAACCCCAGGGCGGGAAGAGCACAATGCTCAGGGTGGGACAAAACACCGACAGACGAGAGAAGAGGCCACAAAACAGACAAGCAGAATGGCGCAGGAGAGAGAGGCTCTGCAGGCGAGCCGCCCCTGGCTCTCGCGTCTCTCTCTCGATTCGACCCCTGCTTTCGACCGATCAAAAGCAGGTCGAATCGCATCATAAATGTGGGACTAGATGACCCCTGCGCGGGCCCCGCCTCCCTGGGGGCGGGGCCCTTGGCCTTGCGACGGAGAAGAGGCCAAAATTGTACAGCAGCAGACGACGGACAACGATGCAGTAGAGGCTTGCTAGGAAAGGTGAAGGGCCCGGCATGCTTCCACACACATTTCGTAGACATCGGGGAGGATGTAAACTTGGCAATAATCGATGCAATCATCATACGAGTCGACATACGAGTCGACAAACATTTGGCAGACAAAGCGCCCATCGTTCACGTTGACAAAGTTGGACGTAGCCGCCGACACGTAGCCGGAGTAGTGGACGCAGGGGTGGCCCTCCCATGTAGTCTCGCCGTCCGTGCAGTGGCGGTGCTCCTCCACCTTGAAGACCGAGATGCCCCAAGCCTGGTCGTGTTCGTCAGCGCCGCACGTGGACGTCGGCTCGAGCAGCGCGATGTTCTTGTGGTCCCACGCGCTCGAGACCAGCGCGTCCGCCTCTGCCGCGTCGCCCGCAATGGTCTTTGCGAGATGGTGAGGAAAGTCGGTGAACTTGACCGCCGTCTGCGGGTAGAAGTTGAAGGAGATGTCGGCCATGAAGTGGGCTGCGGTATCGTCCTCCGTCTCGCTCGCCGCCACGTCGCGCTCCTTCATCACGACGTTGAGGTTCGAGCAGAAGCCGGAGGCGGCGATCAGCCAGGCGGGGTCGTCGACCACGTCGGGCACGGGAGGAGAGGGCTTTGGCGCAAAGGCGAGGCCGCGAGCGGCTGGGTCGATGTCGTCGACGGTTTCTGCCTGCGCACTCGTGTGGTGCGTGTAGTTCAAGCCTGCATGTGAGTAAGTGCGGCTGGGCGGAGCGACGCACCGGCAGGGCAGACGCCGACAGAGCGACGAGCAGAAGCGAGGCAATCTTCAGCATCCAGTCCATGCAAGGTGCACCCCGCGAGATGTACCCCGCGGCCAAAACGCCGTTTTTCAGAAGAATTCTTCGAGCCTCCGCTCGGGTACGAGTAAGCGGTCTTTTCTTCCGGATCGAGCCGCTCGAACCAGGGAAAACGCATCGAGCCATGTGAAGCTCTCAAGGTGGGCGCTCAGGTGGGTAGGAAAAGACGTGCCAACGGGGGGGGGTGGAGCCTCGGTACCCTAGACGCGTGTGTATCGCGCGCCTTGCGGGGGGGGGGGCGCGGAAAAGAGGAACCTCTTAGCGCCATCGCCACGGTGCTGCATGCAGCGCCGGGCGACGACGGCTTACCGCCTCCCGGTCCCCCTCGGCACACCTCCGCTGCTTAATGTTTGGCGACTCGAACCCGTGAAGCTTCCCCGTGCGCGGGTTACCCGGCTCCGAGAGGACCCGGTCCGCGGCCGTGCCTCGCCGAGCGCCTCGTCGACGCCCTCGGCGACGCCTCCTCGCGTCGCGTGCCCGTGCGTGACCGGGCGGGTCCGCGACCTTTTGAGCGGCCGTGAGCCGGCCGAGAGGCCAGCGATGGTTGCCTGAGCGCCCTCGACGGGCGTTGTCCTTGTCACCACGGGCTCGCTCGCGCAGCTCTATCCGTGGCAGGTCGAGGCCATCTTCCACGGGCTCAAGCAGGCAAAGTGCCGCGTCGTGTGGGGCCTGAAGGAGGCGGCGCAGGCCCACCTGCCCTCGAGCACCGACCCCGACTTTTACATCTCCAAGTGGATCCCACAGGCCGCGCTTCTGCAGGACAGTGCGGTGAGAGTGGTCATCACGCACTGTGGCTGGGGAGGCGCGCAGCTCAACCCACCCGTCGCATGGCCCGCGCCTGTCTCTCCTCGGGAGCCCCGCCGACGCGCCCACAGGTACGCTCGAGTGCGTGGTCGCGTCCAAGCCAATCGTCGCGATCCCATTCTTTGGCGACCAGCCGGAAAATGCAAACTTGCTCGTCGGCGCCGGTGCGGGAGAGTACATTGGCAAGGTCCCGGCCGGCGGCATGGACATGAACCCTTACAAGGAGGGCGACTTCACGGCCAAGACCGTTGCCACCGCCGTCGCCAAGATTATGGCCAACCCCGACTATACCAAGGCGGTCGCGAAAATGGTGAGCCGAGCAGTGGAGAACGGCACGATGAGCCCGTACCCCTCCCCACAACGCCCGCCGTCCCAATCCAGGCCAAGTCGTCACGCGCGAGCGGCGGTGCGGAGGCGGCGGCGCAGCAGATCGAGTGGGCAGCCCGCTTCGGCACGTGCCAGCTGCACTACCCGCTCAAGCGGACCAACCCGCTGAGCGGCCTCCTCCTCGCCGCCGCCGGCTTTGCGGCGCTGGTGGGGTACAGGCTCGTGAGGAAGTGAAGTGTATGGGTCGAAGTTCTGGGCGGTGGGGGTGCCTTAGGGCGGCGCGCGAGTGTTTGAGCAAACGAGCATGCTTCATAAAAGCTTGCTAGCACAAGGCCACAATTGCCCGCACCGCGCTTTCTTTTTTCGTGGCAGCATATTTGGTCTTAGGTAAGGTAAGGTAAACTTCTCCACACACACGAGGTGGTGGGGCAAGGGGGGGCAGCCCTCGCATCTCCACGTCTAACGACAGGAGCCCCACGGCATTTAAAGTGCAAGGCCCGGTGCGCGTGGGTGAGCGGTGTGTGTGTGTGTGTGTGTGTGTGTGTGGAAAATTTTTGCTATTTGGGTCAATGTTGCACAGCAAACGCGAGAAACGGGGGGCAAACGCGAGAATTACGTTACAATCACTTTAGGCTCTCCGTAGCAAGAGTACGTGGACCCCGAGGAGCTGGAGGGAGAGAGTGCGTTCCTGAGGCTGAGCCTGTTGCGGTGTGCGTAGGGTGCGCCCGCCCCCCGCCCCCGCCCGCGGGGCGCGGGCCGCGCGCGGCGCGGCGTCCGATGACCGATCGGCAGCCCCGCGCCGCGTGTCTGTGCCCCGGCACGCGGCAGCCTACCAGGTCGATCAGGAGCGAAGACCGAAGTGTACACGCTCACACACATACTGTACACATGCCCCTGGCCCCGCCTCACCTGAACACCTCCACAGCAAC